TTCAAAGCAAAGCGTCTCGGTTGCCAAGAGCTGGTTTGTCTGTCTCCTGGAGACAGAGGTTGTCAAGCCCTGAGAGAACAGTGAGCACGTCAAAAATAGCAGCACAAGCAGACTGCGTGGCTGCGATTTCCTTTTGAAATGTTGGTTTTGCGCTCACCAGAGAGTGGGGGTCTGTCTGTGCTCCCTGCAACCTCCAGCGGGGGCTGCCTGAGGATCCGAGATGTTTTCCAGGGGCGAGCAAAGCACGTCTGCGGAGACCCAAGGCAGACACAGGGGAAAGCCTCTTCATAGTAACAACGATGACATTAGAGTTGTGTTTAAAAAAAAAAAAAAAAATTGTTACAAACCCTCACCCAGGCTGGGCCCTAAGTAGGTTAAGTTGACAGCCAAGATGAGACCAGTACTCTTAAGGATATTTACAGTCCCTTTTGCTCTGTTCTGGGAATGAGGGAGTCAGCACCTTGTTTGTCCTTCAGAAGTGGTCACAAATAGATTTTCACCCCCTCTTTAGGGTGTCAAGGGGGTGAGAATGGAGAAGGGGCAGGGGAGGCAGGGTGAGCTCCTCTCTCTAGGGGTTCAGAGCAAAGGGACATGACATGACAATCTCTAATCCCACAGGGACCTCAAGCCCAGAACAGGAAAGGGTTTCATTGGGAGACACAGTAACATGAGAACTGAGAGCCCATCTGTCTTGTATTCCCAGTGGCCTACATCTGGCAAGTTCCCTCTCCTACTAAAGCCCCAAGCTCTAGGCCTTGGTCTGCCAGAAGCTAATCTGTGCCACCAGAGGCAGCCCCATATAAAGCAGAACGGAGAGAGGAAATCCTACGGTTTAAAGAATGAAAGGTTTCTTTTTCTTCCCTAAGTGACCTTGACAAGCTAGAATCAGACCCCACTTTGCTTCCCAGTTTTCGTCAAAAACGATCAGAGCTGGCATGGCAGCCAGATTGTCCCGGGAGGACAATATTCTCTGGGAATCAATCTTGGCATTTGCGTGGAGATGCCGGGTGACAGAAATACTGCCAAAAGCAAGGTCTCAGCCAGGGGAGAGAAGGAATGATAAGCAGCGGGACTGGAAAGTGTCACGTGAGGAGAAATACCAAGGGGAGGGAAGCATGGGTCCCAATGAGCAAAAGCCAAGTGAGAGTAAAAGAGCATTGTCTGATGAACAGACCCTGAGCCAGGTGAGCTGACTTCTGTTTGCCCAAAGCACCAGAGACAGTGGACCCCACAGAGGCTGTAAAGGGTTAATGGTTACTGCAGGGAGGAGGTGGGAAGGAGGAAAGCAGAATAAAACCTTGACTCCAGCACAATTTCTTTAGGAATTCTGAGTTTACAGGTGCAGAGCCTAGGTAGGGTTTTTTGGTTGGTTTGTGGGGATTTTGACATTTTTCCTCTTTGTTTTGGTTTTGCCAGCAAAGTATGAACCTCTCGGGCAAGTTCACTGCCTTTGTCCTACGTAATGAATAGCGTCCAGCATACTCACCCTAGCGCAATACATGCTAATCACGCTCTGCAGTTACCAAAAATGGCTTTGACCTTTCTTTTGCTTGAGCAAAGAGGAAAAATCCCACAATGATTTGATTGTCAAAATTTAAAAAAAAAAAAAAAAAAAGGCAGTTCTTGGCACTGTATTTGAGTAGCAAGGAGCAAGTGCATGAAAGCTCTAGTGTCCCCCAGTGGCAGAAGGAAAAAACTGTCATCCCATCCTGGATATTTAGACTGGTCCATCTTTAGAGATGCTAACCTTTTAGATTTATAAAACCAAACTATTCTCCCAGCCGAGGTGTGAAACTTAGGTTATCAACCCCATGCCACTTCTCCCCACCCACCCCCCAACAATCCAGGGACTTTTTTGGTTAATTTATAGAGTTATACAACTATCACCACAATGTGTTAGAAAATGTCCATTACCCTCCACCCCACCCACCCCTGTCCTGATGCTGGAGGGACTACCGCTAGCAAGGGAAGTGCACAATTCCCCTTAAGAACTGGGTCGAGAATTTTAATCCATCTTGTCAAGGAGCATCCTGGCACCTTGCACCCCTGAGAGATACACCCTTGCTTTGTCCTGCCTTCAGTGTGCAAGAGAGACAGCTGGAGGCTATGAGGGGCTTCAAGTGAAATAAGGGCAGCTTGAGGGCCACTTCTGAGTTAAGGCTTTTTCCAGGCTAATTCCACTCCCTCCTAAATCCTTGTCTTTGTGTTTAGCTTACTGTTCCTATTGTTCTTTTGTTTTGTTTTAAACCTTTGTGTAAGCTTTAAGTTGGGGAACTTAGAGGTTTTCTCTCTCTCTCTCTCCCTCCCTCCTCCCCCCACTTTTCTGTTTCCTTCTATTTTTTATTTTTGAAGATTAGGAAGTTTCTGCAGAGATTTTTCTAAAGGCAGCGCAATCTCATCTTGCTCTGTAAGCTCAGAACTTGTGATCACAGGGGCAAGCTTGGCAAGAAAGGACAGGAGACACTGAACTGGCAGGGAAGTGTCGGGGGGTAGGGGTGTCCTCCATCTGGAGAACAGTCTTCTTAACAAACACTTGAGATCACTGCTGGCCTAGAGTTCAAGTTGTGATAGCAACAGAAGTGCTACAGCTGCTCCCTGCCACTAAAAAGGTGGAGTGAGGGAGAAAGATAGAAAAAAAGACACATAGAGAAGGAGGAAGAGATTAAAACAACAGAAGGGCAAAAGCCAGAAATGTGACAAGAAAGGGGGGAAATGCAGTGAAAATGAGTATACCTAGGAGAAGGGGAGGGGCATGCAGAGAAAAGGAGGTGACTAGAAAGGGTGGGGGAGCCAGCAGTGAGGGAGCAGAAACGGAAGAAGGAGACTAAAGTACATGGAGTCACAGAAAATACACAGGAGAGGAAGGTGGTCCCTGAGGACCAGGACGTCAAAGCCCTGGGTCTCCGGGATGCATGTGCTCCCCTCCCCGACTTGTAATCTGGCCTGGAGCACTGAGCCAGGATCATAGTTTCCCAACAGCAGAACCTACCTCTGATGCAAAGGCGGCCAGCTGTCCCCCTCTCTCCTTAGGGGTGATCCGGCAGGAGGACTATCCCATGTCTCAGCTGAGCCTGACAGATCCAGGAAGGCATTTGGGAGCTCCTGCTGGCGATCAGGTGTAGCAGAGGCCTGACCCTCGCCTTTGCTGGCAGCTGGGAAATCACCACTCCAGCTGTCTCAGCGGCACAGGGTGCTCAACGCTCGGGGCACAGATTCCACACAAAGAGGCTCAGAGTCAGAGGGACTGCTTGGCAAAATCCTTCACAGAAACTAGGTCAGGCCACAGCCTTTCCGTGTTTCCTCGATGTCTTGAGAAGAGCCACCTATGAGATTGCTGGGAACAGAGCTAGATAATCCCCAGGAGGAAGAAGTGTCATTTCTTTCAGTCTCTCTGAGAGCAGGGAGGAGCCTCTCTGAGGAGATGGCAGTTCCATGATACTCTCATGGACTGTGATGTTCAGGACTCTCGGAGGGCCCCGCCTGGCCGCCTCTTGAGGAGCCCGTCCCCTCCAAGTCTCCCCTTGTCATTTTGCAAAAGATAATATTGACATTGGTTTAACTGGCAGTTGCTTAGCATTCAAATTTCTGAAGACTCGGGGGTGAGATGAGGCAGCTTCGATGACTGGATGGGGAAACCGGGAAGAGAGGTCTAGGGAGAAAGTTTGAGGAACTGCTTCCCCCTCATTTTCCGAAGGTCACACAGCCGGCTGGTCATCACCAGCCCCTCAAGCACTATGTAGGAGGTGTTCCCATTTCAGAAGCTGGGAATATGTAGTCTCCTGTTCTCCCTTGATGCCCAAATCAGAAGATAGAGAGAACAGTCTGGAAGGTTGCTATGGCAACCAGAGTCCCTGGAGAGCCCGGCTCTCCACAAACCCTTTACTTTCAGGCATGCTCTGACTTGAAAAGGAAATGTTTTATTAGGGATGGTGATGAGGATGAACACATACACACATATAGAGATGAACATGCGTAGATGTTCCAGCATTTACCCTCGCAGAAAGCAACCCGCTGCCTCTGGAGTGGGCCCTTCTCCTTTCGCCCCCAAAGCCAGAAGTAACGGAAGGTATTTGGAAAACCAGAACTTCATGGCCTCGGAATGGATTTCCGAATCAGGAACTCCTCTTATCTGTATTTCAGGTTTGGAGAAGCCAAGCTCCCAGTCAAGGCTGCCTCTGGCCCTGGAAGGATCCCACTGAACCTGTCTAAAGAGCATTCTCCTTGCTGAAGGGTAAGAAGAGAGACTGAGGCCCAGGACAAGAGGTTAAGCAGGGATTTAGGGAGCTAATAACCCACTATAGCCTACTCTTGGGCTTTGGATCCAAGATAGGAACTCTGCAGGGAGGTTTTGCCTCTGGGTTATGGGAAAACAGGCTAATGAACTAAAAACTCAAGTCCTTTACTAAAATTCACACATTTGCATAGCATCATCCCCAGCTTCCCAGATGAGTTCATCGACATTCCCCATGAGGTAGGGAGGGGAAGACATTAATGTTCCCATTTAATGGGTTGGGAAATTGAGGCACAAAGAGGAACTGTGGCACCCAAGTTACCCTGTCAGGCTGTGGCAAAATCCAGATTTAGATCTGGCACTCACAGGAGCCACGGTGCCTCTCAAGAAAACCCTCAAAAGGCCATCCCTCATTAAGTTGCTCTTTGAGAAAATAATTTAAAAAAATTTTTCATCAAAGAGTCTTAAAGCATAGATATAAAATTAAAAACATGTTAACAGTCCTTTCGGTTTCTGAACTGCACCCAGAAGAGCTCAGAACAGTACATCACAGTTTTTCAAGGCAACAAACAAATGACAACGTTACCAGGAGAGAACTGAAGGGAAGTGGGGAGGTGGGATGAAGGCAGCAGTTTCACGCTGGAAGAGGGTGACTTGTCTGGTGGTGACGCGGCCACATTACCTTACCAGTTAGAGCAGGTCAGCTGCAGCTCCAAGGGGCAGAGCAGGTGAATGTTTGCTTGACTCAGCAAAAAAAAAACAAAAAAAAAAAAAAAAAAAAAACCGCCTCTAACAGTAAGACTGTCAACAAAGGAATGATGTTTCTTCTTTACTCTGAACCTATTTCATTGCCTCTAAAATGGGAAGAACCCCACGCTAGCATCCAATGCATGCTTTTACCTGTCTGCAGGTTTAAGCTAGAGTTTGCTTTGGAAAACCTTCAGCAGCAATCCTAAGTCAAATTCCCAGGAAGCAGAGTGGGGGGCTCGAGAGGGTCGGGGGAAAGCGTGGGGGAGAAATTTCCCGTCTGCAACAAGGTCCTCTTTGCACGCCTCCCAGATGACAATGTCTGCTCAAGTGATACCTCTCTTTAGATAATGTGGTCAGGCAAGTGGCTTGACTCTGTTCAGCCATTTCTCTTGGCTTTGTGGTTCCCTCTTTCCAGTTCCTCTGCACAGGAAGGCACTTGCACAAAAAGAGTATTTGGCTCTGAGAAGGAACCTTCCTGGAAGCTAGACAGTCAGGGAGGGAAGAACTGAATGTAGACCCAAGGCTGACATATCCACTGTGCCAGGACACACCTGGAGGAATCCACTGGCCCCTTTGGTCTGGGACTGACTCTAATGTCCTCCAAATGGCCAAGTTTAATTGCAGTTTCTCTAATTCCTTCCAAGGTTCGAGACAAATAACAGATTTGGAGGCTGTGCAGCTAAAGGCTTTATCAAGGGTCCTCTGCAGGATGAGCAGCAGGTGTGACAGGGCATGGGAATAAAACAGAAAGATGAACACACTGTGTCTGTCCTCCAGCTTCTGCTAGTTACCATGTAGCCCAAAGCTGACAGGTGCATGCCCCAAAGCAAAGGCCACCGAGGAGAGAAATAGGACCCAGGTAAGCCTGGCTTCCATCCTGCTGACATCTCTGTTCCTAGAGATATTACCAGACCCAGACATGAAAGTTTAGAGTCATGAGGGAAGGTCAGACGGAAATCTCATCCACTTGACAGAAGATGGGCATGAATGGGTGGCACCGTTAGAATTTCAAGAATGACATTTAGATGGTTAAACCTTGAACGCTGTATAGATCAAGCAACAAGGTTGACAGTCCAGGTATCTGGACCCGGTGCAGGGGAGGGAGTCAGGAATTCGGCTGGAGCTCAGGTGAGGGGGTGGAGAATGAGAAGGAAGCCTAAGACTGCTCAGTGTCTTCCTTTCCATTCACACCCTGACTGCATCAGTCAGACCTCAGTGAGCATCCTTTTCTCTGCATATGCCCGATGTGGAGGGGGAAGGTAACTGGGTCTCCGTTCCCGAGTGGTCTCGGAGAATTCAGGCTTGCCAAGTCCACTGTCGGCTGCCTTCAGGTCCGGTGTAGGCTGCCCACAAGTGACATGGGTATACTGGCCTTGCTCCTCCTGCTCTGTCTCCCGGTGGTAGAAGTAGTTGAAGTTGGAGACAATGACGGGCACAGGCAGGGCGATGGTGAGGACCCCGGCGATGGCACACAGCGAGCCCACGATCTTGCCCCCCACCGTCATGGGGTACATGTCTCCATAACCTACCGTGGTCATTGTAACCACTGCCCACCAGAAGGCATCTGGGATGCTGGGAAAGAGTGAATCATCATCATCAGCCTCTGCGAAGTAGACGGCACTGGAGAAGAGGATGACTCCGATGAAGAGGAAGAAGATGAGCAGCCCCAGCTCCCGCATGGAGGCCTGCAAGGTCTTGCCCAGGATCTGCAGCCCCTTGGAGTGGCGGGACAGCTTGAAGATGCGGAACACCCGGACCAGGCGGATCACTCTGAGGATGGCCAGGGACATGGCCTGCTGCCCATTCTGGCCGCCCCCTCCACTGGCTGACTGCTGCTCCTGCTGCTGCACCAGCTCAGTGCCCAGGGTGATGAAGTAGGGGAAGATGGCCACCAAGTCAATGATGTTCATGATGTTGCGGAAGAAGGCTGGCTTGCTGGGACAGGCAGAAAAGCGAACCAGGAGCTCAAAAGTGAACCAAACTATGCACAGGGTCTCCACCAGAAAGAACGGGTCAGTAAAGAAGGAGCCCCCAAGAGTACTTAGCGAGGAGGAGCCCCCTGCCACCATGCCCCCTGGGGGTATGCCAGGATGAAAGGTATAGGAATCATCTTCATCCTCGTCTTCCTCTTGACTACCCCTGGAAATGGGGGAGTCTCTGCTCACACCATTGCTTCCACCTCGACCATCTGCACGGAACTGGGGCAAGGTCTCCAAGCAAAAGATGACGATGGAGATAAGAATGACCAACACGGAGACGATGGCGATGCCCCTGGCGGGACCTGAGCTCTCAGGGTACTCGAAGAGAAGCCAGACCTGGCGCTGAAAGGGCTGGGAGGGCAGTGGCTTCTCGTCCTCGCCACCTTCGGGCAGGCAGCCCTCGTCCTCCCGGAAGGCCGCCAGGGCCTCATCCCCCAGCTGGTAGAAGCGGATCTCCTCTAGGAAGATGTCCAGGGGCACGTTGACCGGCCTCCGCAGGCGGCCCCCGGACTGGTAGTAGTAGAGGATGGCGTCGAAGCTGGGCCGGTTGCGGTCGAAGAAGTACTCGTTCCTCAGGGGGTCGAAGAAGCGGACTCTGCGACCGGGGTCTCCCAGCAGCGTGTCGGGAAACAGCGACAGGGTGCGCAGTTGCGTCTCGAAGCGCAGCCCGGAGATATTGATCACCAGGCGCTCGCTACTACAGCAGCCCCCGCCCGCGCCGGCCTCCGGGAAATCTCCCGCATCCTGTTGCTCCCCCTCCGGCCCACGGACCTCCCCCGGCGCCGCCAGCGTCAGGGATTTCTCCGACCTCATGTCCCCTCCGCGGTGCGCTCCCTGCCACTAGGACGGCGCCCACGACACAACCTCTGTCTGGAGCGCGGCACCTCTTCCCGGCTCTCAGCGGCGCCTTCGGTTGCAGGGTGGGGCTCGCGCTCCTCCGAGCTCGCGGTTTGGCCTGGCCGCTGGGTCTGGGAGCCCCCGAGTCCTGGCCTCTGCAAGGCTAGGTCTGGGGAGGGGACCCGGACGCAGAGGATTTCGCTCCGCGCCTCCAGATATCCGCGCTTGGGTGCCACAGCTTACTGGGATACCTGGAACCGCAAACTGGCGCGTGTGAAACGGGCTGCCCGAAAGGACGCGTGGCTTCGCCCCCTGTCGTGTCTGAGACTGGGCTCCAGGACGCGGGGGTCCGCCCTCCGGACGGGCTAGCTCTTCCCAGCTCCCACTGCGTTTCTCCGGCCGCTCAAGCCCCCCCCCGGCTGCCGCTGGGAGCGAAGCGCCAGATGCGCCTCCCTCCGGCTCGGCAGAGACTCCTGGCGGGGCTCGGCCTCCGCCCTACGTGCACCGCGAGCTCCGTCTGGCCAAGGTCGCCGTTCCCGCCGCCACAGCCGCCACCTCCTCCCTGGGAGTCGCGCCGCAGGCCTCGCAGAGGGCCCTGCGGCTGCCCCGGCGCCGGGGCGCGGGGACCCACCTCCCCACCGCTCTAGCCTTCACTGCAGCCGCTGCAGCTGCAGCCGCTCGGCTCTCCGCTCTGCCCTTCCTTTCCAACACTCACTCTCCAAGTGACGTGGCAGGCCCCGCCTGCTGCCCCCTCCCACCCCACTCTCACATCACACCCCTCGCCCAGCCAGGGGCTGCCGCGAGCCAGGGCTCTGTGGAAATAGACACACACTTGCCTCACCAGTAATCTTTCCCGCGCTCGCCTGGCACGCCTCTCCCTTGCTCGCATTCACAATCGTGGCCCCCTAAACAAGCACCAGCACCCTAATACCACACCCCCTCCACCTCTGCAATCAGCTTTCCTCATTTCAGCTTATGGGTGGTGATCTGCGCAGGGCATTTCACCGTTGAGAAAACACACCCCGCCCCACCGTGGAACACATAACACGGACCACTGTACCTCCACTCATCCAGAAATCTAATGAAAATATCGAATCATATTTTGTCCGTCTGTGTTTATGAAGACCCATTTGCCAGCTTCCTTAATGTACTTAAAAAAAAAATACAGAAAACATTTGTAGAAGTTTTCAGAGCTTCCAATTTACATAGTATTCTAATGTAAGTCGCCAGATAATCCGTACTTCCCTTTCCGAACCTGGGCGGGCAAGGCTGCAACTGTCCTAGAGCAGCAAGGCTATAGCAGAGAAAGGGGTTGCCTTTCCCATCAGAAGTTTTCCAGGGAAGTTCTGGGAACTTAGGCAGCACTTCCAGTGAAGAAAGAACCAGAAGATGGTGGTATCTCAGAGGTATCATAGGGCAGGGAAGCACACCCTGGAGTTCTTTTGCTCCCAGCCTCCCTGGGAACTCATCGGGAATGCCTTCTTATTGCACAGACAAGAAAAGAGAGGAGGGGGTGAGTGGAAAGTGGTATGTAAGAATGTTGAAAAAAAATAATGGCTGCATTTACTGAGCATCTAATATGTGCTGGCCGCATTCCAGGTGCTGAACCTGTGTTGTGTCCCTCACAGCCCTGTTTAGCTCATAACCCTATGAGAAAGATGGCCTCTGCCCCTAGGTAATGTTACAATGAAGACTCACCTGCAGTATTTGGGTCGGGACCAAAGTTTGTCGTTAGGGACTCTTTCCCTAACTCTCCAGGAGGGAAGTGGTAAGAATGGTTTTCTATCCATTTCCACTGGAAACCATATAGTTTTTCTTTATTAGATCAAACAGGTTAGAGTTCGGTGGAAGAGGATTGCGCTGATCTTTTCAGCCTCCCACTTCCAGGTAGGGTTGACATTGCTTCTCTGTGCCCCAGTTCCTCCCTTCTTGGTTGTCTGTGGCCAGAATTAATTGGCTGACAACTACAAGTTGTTTTGTGTAGCTTCTTACTTATTTTATTTCATTGGTAAGCATTCATTGCTGATAATGACATGAATGATACATAAAGGTAATCTCAAACCACAAAATACAGGCAAGAATTCTTTGTATTGCACAGGGTGTTTTAAAACCACAGTGGTTCACAGCAGCATTCACTGCCAGAGGGGCTAGGGGAGCAGAAACGAAGTCTTCTAGACGTGTAGGGTAGGGGTCGGGGAGTGAATGCATGGGAAAGAGGCTAGCATCTCACTGCATCTTCATTGTCTGGGCTGTTGCCTCAGGAGGTCTTACCAGGCAACAGCTTCTGCTTCCTCTCTTTGCCTGTGCTGTTGGTTTCCACTCCCTCCCTCACCTTGCATGTTTCAGTGAAAAGCGAGGAAGCTAGTGCACCCAGTCCCCAGTCCATAGTTTGCCTATTTACAGGCTGTGTAATTAACCCAATTTAGACTTCACACAGGTCGCTCCATTCCAAAAAAAAAAAAAAAAAAGTAAAAAAAGGAAGGGAAACAACAACAGATACAATATAGAAGATAGTCTTTCGCCGTTGTCAAATTATCTGCAATTATTTTCTGGATTATAAATTGATTTACTTGTGATTCTTTTTGTCCTTGTTTTCAAAATTTATAATGAATTATTCATTTGCATGTTTGTTTTCTTCATTGCTGTTTTTATTCATAAGGCTGTCAACTAGGTCAGTAACTCTTCAAAACAAATGTTCAGGAAGCATGGAGGAAAAAAAAAAAACCTGCATTCTGCTAGAAGGGTGCACAGTCTAACATGGTGAAAGGAACTACCATTTGAGTACCCCTGGGTTAAGTCTAGCTGGTGCTGCCTGCCAGCCTATATCAGAGCTGACATTCCTGGTTACCTTCACATCATGCATGAGGCTGTGCCCCAGGAGACGTCTCACTGTGCATGAGGAGTTTCCCCCGGGAGAGAAAAGTCATTAGCAAATTCATGAATCAGAGTTCTGTTTTTAGTTCTTTTGTGAAAGAGACTCATTTCTTAGCTTTAGAAAAGCCGTATACTTAGATCATTTTTCCCTAGTATATATGAAGAGCGAGTAAAATTACAGTTTCAGAAGTGCCGGTTCCCAGGTAAAGAAAGACAAAAGGCGCAAACCCGTCCGTACACTGCAACACCACTTCCAGTGACAGGTGAACATTCCCCCAACATTCACTGAGCACCGACTTCGTGAGAGCACAGATCGTTCCTGTGTCTAAATTCAGATATTTGCAATAATGGTTGGGACCATTCATGTAATTAACAAGCATTTATGGAGAAGCAGCTGGATGCCCATCATAGTGGCAGGTGCTAGGGGTTTAGAAGTGATCCAGACAAAATATCTGTTTACATGTCCATGCAGTAAATACATTACATTCTAGACAGGAAATTTTAAAAATAAACAATAAAGAAGAAATTTATATATTATAGTAGATGCTTTGAGGAAAATAAATGGGATGCTATGTCAGAAATCGACCTGAGGATTCAACTTTGAACAGGGTGGCTGGGAAAGATGTCCCAGAAGACATAATATTTGGATGCTTCTCAAGCAGAGAAGGGATGTGATTTGTACAGAGGCTGTGAGGAGAATGCATTACAAGGGGGCAGGAAGAAAATGGGCCAGGAAATTGCAGTAGTCTGAGAAAAGGTTGATAGTGACTGGGACTGGACGAAAGGTAAAGCAAGTAGAGATAGTGTGGGGATGAGGTGCGGGCGAGGGGAGCAGTATTTAGGAGATAGAATTGGCAGGAACTGGTGATGGATAGAGCATGAGAAACAATCAAGGAATGCCAGGTTTGGGATTTGAGCAACAGGGCAGGGGGGCATTTATTAAGAAAGGGAATATAAGGAATTAAACAGGTTAGGTTCAGAGGTGCCTGGGTTGCTCATTTGGTTGAGCATCTTCCTTCTGCTCAGTCATGATCCCAGAGTCCTAGATCAAGCCCCATGTTGGGCTTCCTGCTCAGTGGGGAGTCTGCTTCTCTCTCTCCCTCTGCTCCTCCCCCCACCTGTGCCCCCTCTCCCTCTCCCTCTCTCTCTCTTTCTTATGTTCGCTCTCTCTCAAATAAAATCTTTAAAAAAATGAATAAACAGTTAGGATCAATCAAGACCTCATGTTTAGAAATGTTAAATTGGAGAGGCAAATTAGACATGCAAATAAAGACATTGAGAAGTGATTATTTATTCAGGCTTGGAATATGGAAAAGAAATGAGTGATTTGTGAATGTAAAATATTTAGAAATATGTAAGCTCATAGCATTAACATCTTCTAGTGAGACAGGATAGGGACAATGAAGAGAAACATAAGCAAGAACAAGTCCTGCACAGTGCAATTCACAGTTCAAGTTCAGGAGGAAGAGGATCCCACGAAGACCAAGGAGGAGTCAGTGGGGTCAAAGGAGAACCAGGAGAAAAGGGTTGTTCCAGAAGCCAACAACTGTGATGAGACCTCAGGACTCATACCTTGACAAGGCCATGCTGTCTTCCAAATGAGCACAATATCTACAGCAGATCAGAAGCACAGAGTGGGAAGAAAAGGGTCAGTAAATGAAAATGGGTGTATGTACTAACCAAGATGAGTACATAATAATAAGCCACATAATTTGACAACCATTTATATTAATATCTCTGCCTGGAGTTAAAATGTACTCATCCCTGGTATGTAAATTAGCATTCTCTTCTATTTTCCAGGCTTCTTTTATTACATATTTTACTTTGTATCTGTGTGTGTGCACACGCATATGTATGTGTGTGCTTGTCATCACCCCAGCAGTAGGATCCTTGTAGTGTTCCTCTGGAGAAAGGACAGGGGGCATAGACTGGGCCCTGTTTCTCTGAATAATCTCAGGATGGGTCTTTTTATCTGCCTTATCACCCTCAGGCTCCGGTGGGAGGAAAGAATGGTAAGTGGCCAACACCCTCAGTTCCTACTTGAGTGCACAAGTATACACACACCCTCTCTGAGAAGAATCACGCCTTTCTTTGGATTTTCACTGTGGAAGACAAACCATATGGAGACGGTTGGGGGCAGGGGTGTGATGCATTAGACACGGTGTCTCTCATCTTACTCTCTCACCTCTGGACAAGGCTCACAGCCCCAATCCTTCCATTCCTCAGGATGGCCATTGTGGAAGTGCCTCTGGCCAGAAAACAATGTCCCATACGACACTGCCTCCTTCCTGGGTTAATTTTACTCCTCTTAACCTTCCCCTAATTTTCCTGCTGGGAAGATGAAGGAAGGAAGCTTTGAATTTGGGGGGGAAATGGGGAGAATAATAGATGACTGGATAATTCTATACTTTGCAGACAATCTTTGCTACATTCCTTTTGTTCCCTTCCCTCTACACACACACACACACACACACACACACACACAAGCACACACAAATTTGGTCATCTAAGACTTAAAAAGAAATCACTGGGTGCCTGCGTGGCTCAGTCATTAAGCATCTCCCTTCAGCTCAGGTCATGGTCCTGGGGTCCTGGAATCAAGCGCAACATCGGGCTCTCTCTCTCTCTTCTCCCTCTCCCACTCCCCTTGTTTGTGTTCCTGCTCTCTCTCTCTCTCTCTCTCTGTCAGGTAAATAAATAAAATCTAAGAAAGAAAAGGAAGAAGGAAAGAGAAAGAAAAAGAAAGAAAGAAAGAAAGAAAGAAAGAAAGAAAGAAAGAAAGAAAGAAAGGAAGGAAGGAAAGAAAGAAAAAGAGAGAGGAAG